GGTCCCTGTGCTTTGTTTGCTAAGCTTGTTCTAAGTAGGTGCTTTAGACCACTGAGCCATCTCACCAGCCCAAGAACTCTTTTAAAGAGACAAATCAGCCCTGATAATTGAATCAGAGCCCTTCCCAGATGGCTTGAGAAACAGGAAAAGTGGGTTTCAGGTCAGAGGTGGTGCTGGGGTCAGAACCTGGTCCCAGCTGCTGGACTGGAGGCTTTTGCCCTTTTCTCTGCCACTTCCAGGCAGAGAAGGTGTCACATCAGACTGTGGCTTCCTCAGCCAGAAATGGTGGTGCACGCCTCTCATCCCTGCCCTGGGGGAGGCTGAGGATGGAGGACTCCAAGTTTGAGCTCAGCCTGGGCAACTTAGTGACTTCTGTTTCAAAATAAAAGGGGGGGGGGCAGCCAAATAGCTCAGCAGATTAAAATGCCTTCAGGGCCTGCTGTGCTGGCCCCACCTCTGGGGTGCTCTGAGACAGCGATTGAGACTGGGCATGCCTATAATCCCAGCTCTTGGGAGGCTGTAAACAGGTGGATCACTGTGAGTCCAATCTAGTAATGAGACCCTGAACACCCTGTAGACCCTTCCCTAAAATACAGAAAATAAATAAATAAAATAAAAATTAAAAAAGGCTGGGGATGTAGGTTAGTAAGGAGGCCCTGGGTTCAGTCTCCAGTACTAAAGAAAGGAAGGAAGGCAAGAAAGAGCAGGGCTCCCTGGAGGGCTGGTGGAGGCTGTCCCGCCCCTGACCTGGCTTGCCCTTCCCTTCTCAGATGGCCGCCCCATTGGGGTAGAGGGCATCCAGGTGCTGGGCACGGGGAACCTCATCATCTCCGACGTGACTGTGCAGCACTCGGGTGTCTACGTGTGTGCAGCCAACAGGCCGGGCACACGGGTGAGGAGGACGGCACAGGGCAGGCTGGTGGTACAAGGTAGGACAGTGTCCACACAACAGGTGGGAGTCCCGTGCCTGCCTCTCCCCAGGCCCCACGCTAGGCAAAGGCAGCAGCTCTGCACCCCAAGAACACATACGGGGGACCCAGCCTCCTGTGCCAGCCCTGCCCTCCACCCCAGGAGACATTGCCACTTTCTGTCTCCGCCACTGTCCCCCACCCCATCACACACGTCTGTCCCCTGGGTGCCATTTCATTCACTCAGGTGGCCTGGCCACGCTCACACTGCCTGCCTGTCATTTTCATACCCACCTTGTACGCAGACCCCCCCCCCGCCTCTGCATCTCCTGCCCAGCCCTGGACACAGCTGTCCCTGTGAGCTGGGCCTACCGTCCCGTTTCCAGGGGTGTCCTGGGGCTCCCCACCCTGAGAACAGCAGGAGGATGGGAATGAAGGAGTCAGGAACTTCAGTGTGTCTGTTTGGTTTTCCAGGTGCCCTTAGTCCATCCAAATGAAGGTGACAGAGGATTCCTTATCTGGGTGTTAATGGGGGCGCAAGGCCTGGGATTGAGTGTGGGGACTCAGGGGTGCAGGATCCAGGGCTCCTCCATCTCTGTCATTCCCACTGTGAGGTTCAGCCAAACATATTAGCACATTTATTTGTTTAATGATTTCCCCAATGGGGAGCTTAGCTGATTGTCTCTGGATACTTTTGTCAGTCTTCTGGGTTACCCTTAACATGGTGTCCTCTCTTGGGTCTGCCAGGGGTGGGTGAAGGAAGGGGCCTGCCCCCAGGGATGACAGTGTGTGCGTGGACCCCACCTCCACCCCTGCATCCCACGCTCTTCTCTGCCCCAGCACCAGCCGAGTTTGTGCAGCACCCACAGTCCATCTCCAGGCCGGCAGGGACCACAGCCATGTTCACCTGCCAGGCGCAGGGTGAACCGCCGCCCCACGTCACGTGGCTGAAGAATGGGGAGGTGCTGGGGCCTGGAGGCCACGTGAGACTCAGGAATAACAACAGGTAGCTCTCGGAGGCAGGTCTTGTTGTGTAGTCCAGGCTGCCTTGAGCTCACTATAGCATAGGCTGGCCTTGAACTCGCAGCGACCCTCTTGCCTCAGCCTCCTGGGAGGTGGGATGACAGATGTGTGCTGCCACACCAGGCTGGAGACACAGATTTGGACCCCAAGCCTGCTCTTGCTGGTGGAACTCCTCTGTCAGATGCGTCACGTGTCTTCTCGAGGGTCTCTGGGACACGCCGGGGCCTTGAGGACCTGAACTTTTCCTCCTCCCTGCAGCACGCTGACCATTTTGGGCATTGGCCCCGAGGATGAGGCCATCTACCAGTGCGTGGCAGAGAACAGTGCAGGCTCATCCCAGGCCAGTGCCAGGCTGACTGTGCTGTGGGCCGAGGGGCTCCCCGGGCCCCCCCGCAATGTGCAGGCTGCCTCTGTGTCCCCCACTGAGGTCCGGGTGTCCTGGAGCGAGCCCTTGGTCAACACCAAGGAGATCATAGGCTACGTTCTGCACATCAGGAGGGCTTCCGGTGGGTCTGCCATCCCGCCCCTTTTCTGGCCTGCACCAGGCTGCCCTTGTGTCACCCAGTGCTGGCAGTACTCCCTCATGGGGATCCCTTACACTTCCCTGCCCTGCCTGTGCCTGGCCAGATCCTCCGGAGCTGGAGTATCAGGAAGCAGTCAGCAAGAGCACCTTTCAGCACCTGGTGAGTGACCTGGAGCCCTCCACGGCCTACAGCTTCTACATCAAGGCCTACACACCGAGGGGCGCCAGCTCAGCTTCCATCCCCACCCTGGCCAGCACCTTGGGGGAAGGTGAGGCATGGATATCAGAGTCGGACCGCGGGGATGGGTGTTTAGGTTGTGCACTGCACAAAGGGTCTGGACCTGAAGCTGAATAGGGGCTGGGTCTCCTTGTGGAAGGGGCACTAATGCATGGAAAATTACCCTGTGGGCAAATGCACACCTCGCCCCAGAGAACTGGCAGGCTCTGGGGGTCCGGGTAGGGGGTGGAAAGGCAGAGCCCAGCGCTCACACCTTGGCCTCTCTCTCGCCCAAGCTCCTGCCCCACCCCTGCTTTCCGTGCGGGTCCTGGGCGGCTCCTCCCTGCAGCTTCTGTGGGAGCCCTGGCCCCGGCTGGCCCAGCACGAGGGTGGCTTCAAACTGTTCTACCGCCAGGCGGGCAAGGCTTCCTTCACCGGCCCCGTCCTGCTGCCTGGTACCACCACTTCCTACAACCTCAGCCGGCTTGGTGAGGGGGCTCCACTGGACGGAACATAGGGTTCAAGGGGGGCCTGTGGGCGCAGGGTGGGGAGCCACTCAGCAGCACCCACTTTCCCAGACCCTAGTGCCGTGTATGAGGTGAAACTGCTCGCCTACAACCAGCATGGAGACGGCAACGCCACGGTTCGCTTCGTGTCTTTGCGAGGCGCATCGGACAGGACAGGTGAGGCTCAGGGCTGGGACCCAGCAGGGACGGGGCCGAGAGGAGGGAAGCAGGCGGGCAGAAGGCAGCACTCTGTAAAGCAAAGATAACCACACCTGCTGGGTAAAGCCATGGCGAGGCTGAAGTAGTCCGTGTAAGGTGTGTCCCCTAAGCCGGGACTGAAAAGGTGCTACTGCCAGTACCGGGCTCGGTTAGTGTAGCATAATTGGTAAGCGCAACTGAAAACTCTGGGCTCACGGAGGCAAAGTTGTAGGGTTGTGCAGAGGAAGGACTCCTCCAAGGCTGGATGTTGGGGTGCTTCGAGCCCAACCTCCCCCTCCCCCCAGCCCTGAGCCCGCCCTGTGACTGCCGGAAGGAGGAAGCTGCCAACCAGACATCTACCACAGGCATCGTCATTGGCATCCACATCGGGGTTACCTGCATCATCTTCTGTGTGCTCTTCCTCCTGTTCGGCCAGAGGGGCAGGTGGGTCCTGGGAGGGGGAGGCGGGGGCGAGCCCTGTCCTCCAGCCCTTGCCGCTAAGTCTTTCTCACCCCGTAGGGTCCTCCTGTGCAAGGATGTGGAAAATCAGCTCTCGCCTCCCCAGGGTCCCCAGGGCCAGAGGGACCCTGGTGTCCTGACCCTGAATGGCACGGCTCGGGCAGAGCGGAGCCAGCTGGGCCAAGAAGAGAAGCGTGTGGATGCCAAGGAACTGGAGCAGCTATGTCCCCCGGCAGGGGCGTCGGGGCGGCCGAGCCCCAGGCCCACTGTGAGTGCCCATAACTCTAGCCACATCCCCTTCCTCCCCCACCTTCATGGTGGCCAAGCCTTGATCAAAACCCAAGCCAGGTGCGGAGCGTGGTGGTGTACGCCTATAATCCCAGCACTTGGGAGGCTGAGTCATGAGGATGGCCTCGAGTTTGAGGCCAGCTTGGGCTATGTAATGAGCTCAAGGCCAGCCTGAACTGCATAGCGAGACCCCCCATCTCAAAAAGACACACACACACACACACACACACACACACACACACACACATCCCAAGCCAGGCAGGAAGGCCCTGAGCCCCTGAACCTCTGAACCCCTGATCCCTGAATGGGATGCGGCCTGAGTCTGGCCCTCCTAGTGTGACACCTGTGTGACTGGCCCTGTCCCCACAGGACCCCACAGGCCCTGCCCTGATTGAGGAGACCCAGCTGTCCATGCTGCCACTTCAAGGGTTCAGCCTTGTGGAGGGGAGGACACCAGAGGCCAAGGCCCCCTGCGTAGAGCCTGCGGTTGCCCCGCCACCCCAGGACGTGGGCCACGGTCTCCTCCGTGAAGGACAAGCTGCCCAGCCAGCCTGCTCAGGGCAGTAGGCAGTGCCCAGCCCGCTCTGGAGGCGGAAGCCCCCATTCTCAGGTCACAGGCAAGATTGCTCCTGTCCCATGGGAGTTGGACGGTCCTGGGGATGGCCCTGCATTTCTGTTCTGACTGAAGGAGAGGGACCCCTGTGGGAGATGGAGGGGTCCCTGCAGGAGCCCCTACCCCTGGGCTGATATGTCCTTGCTGCTGCCTGGTGCCCGTGTGACTTGGAGCTGAACTGAAGTTTTCCTGTAAACTCAAAACTGAAAAAGAGAAAGAATACAGAGGAAGGTGAATTAGACTCCAAAAACTTGCCCCTGCTGCGCCGGGCCTGGCACGGCCCCCTGGCCGACCTCGTTTTCTCAGGATGGATTTTGCTGTGTTGGCTCTCAGCACCTACCTCAGCCGGAATGAATGTCCTCGGGGAGGGGACGGTACCCCGGGCCCTGCCCCCCAGAGCCGAATGCACGCCTACCTCAAGCCCCTCCGTGGGCTCCCCTCTCACCCCCATTATTGTCCAGAGTTAAAAAAGAAGAAAAAAGAAAAAAAAAAAAAAAAAAGA